TTTTAAATTTAAGAATATTTTTAAACCCAAGATCTACATGTACCATACACAATGTATCTGAAAATGAGTTAGTTTAGATAATGAATGCAGTTCTATGCTAGTAGGTCTGAAAAGAATTTAAGCTGTAACAACATTGTATAAAAATAATTCTAGAGAGTAAAATTAAAAATTTGTATTTTTACACTTCCTGGAAGAAAGAAAAGAGGGGGGGCGGGGGAAGAATCCTTTCTCTGTTCAACCAGTAGGTGTCATGTTTGGATATCAGAGCCTAAGATTATTTTAAGAGTATTTCTATAATATTACTTTGTGCTTTTAAAAAATGATTATATAAGCATTAAGTTTCATTAGCACTAAAATAAGTAAAGAAATGTAAGCATTTGGTGATTTTCTTTATTAGATTTTTTATTTTAAGATACATTTACTGAATGAAATTAGGCAGCATTTTACCTTTTATAAGTTTGTCCAAAGCAAATTCAGCACCACTACACTCTAAATCTTAGGTAATCATAGACATATATAACTATAAGTAGTCAAAATTATTTCTGATCATATATTATTTATTAGTTATTGATGATGTCCATAACATCTAGTAGTGCAGTAGTTAACAATTCAGCTGTTGCAGAAAGGCTGTATGGTTTTGACGCCCCACGCTGCTGTAAGGCAGAATGATGTGGCAGCCTGCTTCTGTAAGTACTGAAGTCTGGGAACCTGCGAGGTAGTTCTATTCTGCCCAGTGGGGTCGCTGTGAGTTAGAATAGACTCGAAGGCAATGGGTATCTACAATATGTATTTTTTCACCTTTAATTCAAAGGTAGCGCATTTATTTACCTAAAGTAAAACTTTCTGAATACAAAAAAAATTATGAAACAAAGCTAAGCTTTGAAATGGATCCTGTTTATGTGATCACTTATTTTAATCAAGTTTCATACATTGTTATCATCTACACTCTCACTAAATTTCTGTCTCTGTAATATGACACAATGGGATATAACATCTCAAATGCGTTTCCTTATCTAATGTTCTATGAAAAATTAATGCATATGATGATACCCAATGTAGATAAATGAAAATATTTTAAAATATACATTAAAATATTATTTTGTTTAAAATATTTTGTTTTAAAATATGTTCATCTAATGCATTTATATTATTCAATGAAATATAAAAACTGTAGTGAAATTTTAGGATAAAATAAGCCTATTTAGAATATTTGATGGATCATATTGGACTTTATTCCTACCTTCAAAATGTTTTGATAAACAAGTTCATGTTGTTTACAAGGCTGTAAGGGACTCTATTCTTTTGAACTACAGTGGCAAATTTTAAAAATAATCTTTAACATATTATTTAGATGCACAATCCTAGAATTCTGACAATTTACTTTCACAACATTTAGACAATTACCCTCCTGACAGTCAGCAGAAAGTCAGCATGAGGAAAGGCCTCGGCGTAAATCGCTCCTCATTCCTCCCTGGACACAGATCCCCCATCGCCTTGGACACAGATCCCCCATCTCCCTTGACACAGATCCCCCATCTCCCTGGACA